TGGTCATCGTCGGCCGCCGCTCGCCGCCGCTGGAGCTCATCACGTGGCTCCTCCGATGAACAAAAACCAGAGGCGCCGGCACCCAAGTGTCTACCACGGTTGTGCGCGTGCACGCTCGCCCACGCTTCATGCTCTTCGGTGGAGCTCGTGTTGCTGCCTGCCTTCGTGTTGCTGCTGATCCTCTCTGAAGAAGGTATTGTTGCTGCTGAATTTAGTCACTAGAGTATCCATTTCTGCTGCTGCTGAACTGCAATTTCAATCAGTCTGTTGATATCCATTGCTGGACTTGGTTGATGCTTTGTGCTGATACTTTCTGCTGATGCAAGAGAACAAAAGAGAGGGAAAAAATCTGAAAAAAAAGAGACTAGATTGCAATTCAGTTTAATTCTGTCAATGTACTCCAGTGACTAAATTCAGTCAATGTACTCCAGTGACATTCTTGTGTAACAAGTGCTATTTGTATGGCGTGTGATCAATTTAATTCAGAGAAACAAGGGTGTAACATTAACATTTAGTTTAATTCAATGACATTCAGTTTAATTCAAAGAAATAAGGGTGTAACATTGACATTCAGTTTAATTCAGAGAAACAAGGGTACTGTTGCTGCTATATCCGTTTCTATTGATGTTGTTCCTCTCTGAAATGGAAATGGAAATGATGTTAATAGATGTGCTATTGTTTGGAAACATTCAATCAGATCATTAACTGCAAGTGCAAATCCTAGCCCAATCTATATAAAAAAGTGACAACAATTTGTGCAAATCCTAGCCCAATCTATATAAAAAAGTGACAACAATTTGTGCAAATCCTAGCCCAATCTATATAAGCAAACAACTACTGTACTTAAAAAAGGAAAACATATTTTGTCTTGGAGTAATAAAAAAAGACATGACAATAGGAATTAAATTGGAATTATTTGAATTAATTTAGATTCTTCTTGCTTTACTTGAATAGGAGGGCCTTCATGTTCCTCTAGTTACCAAATGAAGGAGTACTTTTAATCTTTACTTTTCCCTTTCTTGGTTTCTTTGCTTTTTGTCTAGGATTCTTCATGGTTTTCTTGTTATGATTATATGCTAACCATTCATCTTCTGTATACTCTTGTTATGAGATCAGACAGGAGCACACAACTATGGATTTGAACTTGATACCGGAAGAGGAGGATGAAGCTCAACAAGAGGAACAAGCTCAGCAAGGTGAAGCTTTTGATTTGAACTTGATCCCGGAAGAGGAAGATGAAGCTCAAGAAGAAGAACAAGCTCAGCCAGGTGAAGCTATTGATTTGAACTTGATCCCAGAAGAGGAGGATGAAGACATTGAGTCATGTGTCATGTGTATGCCTTGTGTATATGTGTATGTCATGTGTATGTCTTGTTGGATTTATTTGAAAAGAAAGGAAAAGGAAAAGTTGGAATTATTTGAATTAAGTTGGATTTAGTTGAATTAAGTTGGAATTATTTGAATTAAGTTGGATTTAATTGAATTAAGTTGGAATTATTTGAATTAAGTTGAATCAACTTGGAATTATTTGAATTAATTTAGAATAATTTGGATTATTTGAATTAAGTTGGAATTATTTGAATTCATTTGACAATAAAATCTTATGATAAGATGTAAAGACAAAACTCCAGTTGGAGAAATAATATCTTCATTAATGGTCATTACAAGATGTACATGGTCATTACAAGGAGTAAGAAGAAGAGGCTACGAATTTGTAAGAAGAAGAAGAATCTAAAGCATATGCTAGGAGCTCTTGTATAGGGTCTTGAGCATCTTCAATGTCTTCTTCTTCTTCTTCTTCTTCTTCTTGCAGAGCACTTGTGCATGAGGTCGATGAGCACGGGGAGGAGGAGGAGGAGTCGATGGGCCAGACTAGAGATCAAAATGTCAAACTAGCATCCTTGATAATGTGCATCTTGATAATCTTTAACATCATTCAGAGATCCAAATGTCAAACTAAGCATTCTTGATAATCTTTAACAACATTCAGAGATCAAAGTGTCAATAATACATCAAGATTATCTTGAGCATCTTGATCTGCATAAAAATTAGGAGGCCATGGGAGTACATGCATAGAAAATTCAGTGCATAGAAAATTTATAGCAGCACCACTACATATAGGAGCAGAACAATGATTCCTAGATGCAATAGTAATCATTTTGTTTAAAACTTCACAAAAATTTCAGTGAACTTTTGAACACAAGTACAATCAGAATATGATCATGTTCAATAGTGATCATGTTCAGTAGCTGAATCCAAGAGGACAAAAATTTCAGTTAACTTTTGAAGTTTCAGAATTAACTGTATTATTCAGTCAAGATCTTTGTTCAGTCAGGTTGATGTTCAGAACCTGTCATTTTCTTCCAAAACCTATCAATTTTTGACAGGTTTTGATCTGTCAAGTTTACTGAATTTTTACTCAATTAGTTGAACTTTTGATCTGTCAAGTTGATGTTCAGGTTTTGATTCCTAGATGCACAAGTTTACTGAATTTTTACTCTTAGTTTGAGATTGTTATGCTTCCTAGTCAAAATTGTCATGGTTTTATCTTATCTTACTGGACAGTGGCATGTTCATCTCAAGCATATCTTATCTTACTGAATTCCATGGCTAACAGTAGTTTTAAAATCATCAAGGGCATATTTGTACTCATCTAGCAAGCTCACCTGAGATCAACAACGGAAGCAGCATCCGTACTCGTACTTCATTCCTCTGCACCAAGTCTTCCTCCAATCGCTACACAATCCAAGAGGACAAGAACAAAACCAGCTCAGCTGCTTGCTTCACCAGACAGAAATCAACAGCTAGAAGATGGACCTGCGCTACTGTGGGCAAGCGGGCAGTAGAAGCACAAGCAAAAGCGGCAGCGACGGCGCCGGTGGAGTGAAGAGGGCGGGTCCTCCATCATCAGTCCGCCAGCTCGAGGAGGGAAATGGCAGTGGCAAGAGGAGCACGGGGCAGTGGCATGTGGCTGGAGCAAAGTCTTCGTCTTCCCCATGCCGTGGTCGTCTTCCCCACGCCGTTGACTTCCGCAGCAGCCGCTCGTCGTCTGGAGGAGGAGCTCGAGGACGAGGAGCTCTAGGATCTTCCATGCCTCCAGATCAAGCCCCAACTCCCTCCAGGACATGAGCGCCGCCGCCGGAGCCGGGAAGCCGCGGGCTTTGCAGAAAAAGGGGATCCTTCCCTCTGGATCTCCTTGTGCGAAGGAAGAAAAGCGGCGAGACGAGGGGGAGGAGGCGGCCGGGGCGTGGCGAGGAGACGAAGCAGGTGGAGAGCCGGCAGAGCAGGCGGCAAGGCGGCGGAGCAGGCGGCGGAGCAGGCCGCCGGTGCGTGGCGAGGCGACAGAGCAGGCGCGATGGGCTGCGTGGCTTGTCGGAAGAAAGGGAAGGGGGTTTTTGTAAAACATCGGTGGAGACAACTTTTTCCGGACGGAGGGAGTAGTAGTTAAGAGGGCCTGGTAGCATATATGCCAAGTTTGTGTCTAGTGCTGTTGGGGTATTGACTATGCGACATATACTAATCAGTCCATCTATTGTTATTTATTTATTTTTCTGAATGATGCCATTGTTAACAAAATTAATTTTCTCAGAATGTTTATATTTTTTATTGCATTTGCAAAAACTTCCCTAGGCCTTACTAGACGTCATTAGTTAATATAATACTCCCTCTGTCCCATAACAAAAAAGCTCTTATATTATGGGACGGAGGGAGTATTTCTCTTGTTTTGGATTGTACCTCTGAGCAACCTCTTCAACATAATGTTCATTTTTACTACTTCGATGACATTGACAGATTTTCCTTTTTATAGGCAATGATTTCTCAGTGGAACCTGCTATGATTTGTAGGATAAAAAGACTTGCGCTCATCTGTGTGCATACAGTACACCAGAAGAGGTGAGTTCAGTTGTTGAAGACTGATATTTAGAACACTTCTAATTAATCTATTTTTATTTTTTGCAGGAGTCAAAAATATTTTAGTCTATTCTTATTTCTTTGCATAATGTATAATATATCTTCACCTTTATCACACAATAAACATTTACCAAAATTTCCTTTAGATTATGATGAGGAGATATGTCTTGTGCATTATTAAGTTCTATTTTTCGGTGCTAATACATAAAATTTATATTGGGTATAAGTCGCCTTGTTAATATTGCATTTTGCCTTCTCACTATATTTTGATGTTATACTACATTTTTCTTTCTGCACTTATGTACTTACCTCTAGGCTTTAGCAAATGCTATTTTTCTATCATTCATGATGACACGGGCACCACTACATGACCTGGTTATTATGTTCTAATAGAGTTGAATGGGGTCACCAAGTGTTGATGCCATCAGAGATTACAGATGCTCCTTCTATTCGAATACTAGAGACTCTGGCTTGCTTGCTAAATCCTCAGCTTAAGTGGAACTGTGAAGTAGTTATGTATCTTCAGCAGAAAAAGATTCATTGCTTATTTCGGGAGGTTATTGAGACCGTATCGGTACGTTCTACTTCTGCATAGTTGTTCAGTGCATAGTCTCAGGTGTAGTCTAAACTGTTTTCTCAAATACCCGTTCACGACTTAATACATGAAAATTTTAAACTAGTTATTGCTGCAATTTGAACTTGTCATCCAATGGTTCTTTTGTACTATCCTTGTATAAAATTTCCAGCGAGCATTTTCTGCTGGCCCTAGTCTATCTTTAAGTCAAACTAGTGTTTCAGATCTTGGCAATGAACCAAATTATGGAAGGCAGGACCTGAATATAATGAATCCAAACCTACCTTATTTTTATATCTGTCTGAGTATTCATCTGATTAGAAACTTTCTAATGGTCTCATTTTTATTAAGCAAATATTTGATTTTTTTTCCCTTATGGGTCGCATTACTTTTCAGGAAAAAGCAATACATTTGGCTAAGCAATCTGATAGTGCATCTGCATTCGAGAAAGTTCTTATACTTTTTGTTTCTCATGTTGAGAATCATACACACTGTTGTCCAGCTGTGCACCCACGATGGAGTTTTCCTTATCAAATCCTATCTATTCCCTTTCTTTGGCACCGTTTGCCACATTTAAAGCTGGTGAGTTGCTTTCTTAATTTCTTGTTCGATAGAATGTTAGATAATAATATTAACTCTTATTTTTTTCCCGTTAGCTACTTTTGTTTGGAGTAGTTTGTTTTAAGAATGGTATCCTTTTACTAACCATTGCATTGATGGTATATTTGATTATTCTTGTTCATTGTCGTTTCAGGCTTTCTGTAGTCAAGGGCTCATTGAACATTACATTAACAAGATAGCTTCGTTCTGCTTGAGTGATGTATTTCCAAGTGATATGTCGGCCGGCCATCCCGGTTATGCATCTTTATTTGCAAATATTTTTGACGCCGCAGTCTATATCTTGTCCGACCAAGCTTTATCTCATGAGAGAGTAGGTTCTACTTCTAAATTCTGAGGTTAATACAGCATTTTAGTAGTTACCTAGTGATATTTTAGAAATCAGGTGAAACATAAATAATCGTTGATTGGGAAGAAAATAGCAATTAGGTCCCATACTTGCTAAAGGACAATGCTTCTGCAAATTATGCCTTTACTGTTATCCATTTGTTTATCTTAGCATGCTACATTTCCTCCTAGCTCATTTCATGCACTTATTTCACTATTAAGTTGTTGCCAACAAGTGAACAATGGTGAGACCAGAACTTCCATTTAACAGTCATATATGTCAATATTGTAGCAAGCTCTCTATAACTTCTATTGTTTCTTTTCACGCCAGTTAGCCTGCATGATCAGTGTTACCAGTGATATGTTATCAGTTAGCCTGCATGATCAGTATTATCAGTTATATGTTATTTCCATATCAGGTAGCTGATCTACTTAACGCTTCTGTGTTATTTCTGGATGCTTTGCCCAAAATTGCATCACCGTCCAAAAGTAAGTTCAATGCCAATATACAAAAATTGCTTTCCATCTTTCTGCAATATGTGTTGCTTAATTCTGTAGAGGTCCGTGTGAGTGAGAAATGCTTGCAGAGTGTTCATCAGTTATAAGGTTGTAAGCTTGTTGTGATTATATGGTTTATTCATTAAATTAAACATGACTTGAAAATATGGAACAACAATAACACAATTAAATTTCAACATCCTAAATATAAATAGTAAAAACCGAATAATAGGCTGCCTAGTGGGAATAGGTGTTCTGCCCACCAATTATTGCAAAACAATCAAATCAATAGGTTAGTTGTTCAGCTTAGTTAGTGTCTGAGCTTGCAGATAATTTTTTTTATAATATGTTGGTGCTGAAATAAAGGACTAATATGTACTTGTCTCTGTCCTGCTATAGATTAAATCTCGCATGGATAGCCTTTTTTATTGACATTTTCTATAATAGATCTATGGTGAGCTAGGTTGGTCATAATATGTACAGGTATTGATGATGTCGATAATAGTGGGCTTCATGAATATTTGCAAAGAGAGATAAGGCTGGTGCTTCAAGTTTTGGTATGATGATTTCTGAAAAACCATTTGAAATTAATTCCTTTCAAGATCATTGACTGTTTATTTTGGTGTCCTCAATTTGACCCTTGTTTGTATCATTCATAGGTGAATGCTGCAGTTAGATGCACAGCCAGCATATCCTATATTGATACAGCAAGGCAACCCACTGTTGCAATGAAAGCTGTGGGCTCTCTTTCTGCTCTTGTGCATTTGATGCTAGAAACATTTAGTATGGACGTAATTATGACAGCATTGGCATTTCATACTGAAATAGCTTCTGTTTTATGGAACTTTATAAAGTGGTGCCATGAAAGTGAAAGCTGGAATATTTTTTTGAACAGTCTGATTTCATGGCCTACAAATGCTCCTGCTTGGTTTCTACCAGTTTCTTTGTTCTGTCCCATATACATGTAAGTGAGCCTATTACATATTGTTAGAAATTGGAATATGGGTGACTCAATTCTCTTTTTCATTAGACACCTAATCATTATAAAAGAATAAGGACACTCCTAATTAATGTTTTTTTTGTAGGCACATGTTGGGAGTGCTTGATAACACCGAGTTCATAGAACAGGGTGAACCATTTTTACTTGATGATTTGAAGTATTTGGTTTCTGTATTAAAAGAGGTATATAATACAATACATAAAATGTATCATTGTCCATCCACATGCTCTCTTAGCCACATATTTCAACTTCAATACGCAGGAACTGTTTGAAATTCTTTGGAATATTCCTTCGCATACCTCTAATATTCAGGCAGCATTGCCCAACCCACTTGGACTTCAGAAGATCTCAATTGAGGGTCTCAAAAGCAAGGCTATGTTTGGCTTAATTGAATTACTTTCAGAGGTAGGTGTTGTTTCTGTAGATATTGTTTTTGGTTCTAGCTCTTGTTTTGATTTTTCATTTTCCATATATGTAGTTTGTTACCAACCATGGCATGTTGAGGCATAATATTTTGTATGTTATTAAGGTGCAGAGAAATTGACCAGTATATCATAGGTTTATTAATCACCTGTTACATACTGGCTATCTTTGATGTTCAAGAAGCTCTTATTGCTTTTGGGGTAATATTTGTTAGAACAGGGTTGTGCTGTGTGTGTAGTTATCATATTGTATAGGGGCTTCTTTGCTTATTTCCCTTCATGTATATGTGCTGGCCTGTTGGCCGGATGGAATATATGCTCACTTCATAACATGGTATAAGAGCTAGGGTTAGGTTCCCCAGCCGCCGCTGCCGCCTCTGGTCGCCGCCGCCGCTGCCGCGGCCGCCGCCGGCTGCCGCTCCTCTCTTCATCGAGCCTCTCCCCTCTTCTTCCTGGTAGCTGCTGCCGCCTGCTGGTCCAGGCCGCCGCCCGTTCCAGGCCGCCGCTGCCGCCGTCCTTCCCGGCCGGCGCCGCCGCCTCAACATGCTGCTGCTGCTCTTCAACGAGCTGCTGCTGCTGCTGCTCCTCTTCTTCAACGAGCTGCTGCTGCTGCTCTTCAAAGTGCGGCTGCTGCTGCTCTTCTCCTCCTGGTCTGCTGCTGCCATCAAGCTGTGCCTCCTGCTGCTGCTGGTCTTCAACGAGCTGCTGCTGCTGCTCTGCTGCAATGGCGCCCTCCACCACCACCGGTGCTGTCCCAGTCCCACGATGTCCTGTTATCTTCAACGGACAGAACTACAGGGACTGGGTGCAGCACATGAAGCTGCACATGAGGGGCCAGCTGGTCTGGGAGCACCTCTCTGGTGCTCTGCCTTGTCCCCTGCTGCCCACTCCTCCAGCTGAGTTGGCCTTCCCTGTTGATGCCGATGAAACCAAGCAACGTGAGATGCTAGATGCTTTTGAAGAGGCCACTGAAGAGTATCAGAATCAACTCCACTTATACAAGCAATGGACAAATGATGATGCTCGAGCCTCTTCTATCTTGGTGAACAGCATGGATGTTGATCTCACCATGGATGTGGTGGCCCTTACCACTGCATATCAGATGTGGGAGCACCTTCGCCATCGCTATGAGTCTACAGGGGATGCCATGTATCTCTCTGTTGTTCGTCAAGAGCAACAACTACAACAGGGAGATGCTACTGTGGATGATTTCTACAAGGAGATGTCGGCGGTGTGGCGCCAATTGGACTCTCTGGGAGATGATGTTTGTCGCAGATGTCAGTGTTGTGTGCGGCAACAAGCTAAGCTGGAGGTTCGTCGCCTCTACGACTTCCTCACTCGCCTCCGGCCGGAGTTCGAGCAGAGTCGTGCTCAGCTATTGGCACGCCATCCTCGGCTCTCTACTCTGGAGGCCCTTGCTGAGGTGCGATCCGAGGAGGTGCGCCTACGGAGCACGGGCTTATTGCCATCCTCTTCAGCAGTCCTGGCTGCCCGCGTTCCACCACCGCTGCCTGGTGTGCCCTCTTCTACACAGGTGGCAGCAACCTCCACTAGTGCTTTCTGCAACTACTGCAAGCAGGATGGTCACATGATCACAGAGTGCATCAAGAGGAGGAAACAGGGTCGCCGTGGTGGCCGTCCTCAAAAGGACTCGGGAGGCTCCTCTAATTCTCGTGAGGGCTCCCTTGAGAAGGTTCACCAGGAGATGCTCACCTTGCTGCGCCGCCTTACTGCTTCTGCACCATCCTCAGGTTCTGCTGGTCAGACGTCTGGTCCACCACCGCACTCTTCGTCAGGTACATCTTTGCCCTGGATTCTTGATTCTGGGGCCTCCTTCCACATGACACCACACAGAGATCATCTTTGTGCTGTCAATTCCGTGCCTTCTCCTCTTACAGTTCAGACTGCAGATGGCACTTCTCTTTCTGTTGCCGCAAGAGGGACTCTTTCCACGTCTTCTTTTCATGTCCCTGCCGTTTCTCATGTTCCTAAACTGACTATGCAACTTCTATCTGCTGGTCAACTTACTGACTTGGGTTGTCGTGTTATTCTGGATTCTGACTCTTGTTGTGTTCAGGATCGTCGTACGGGGACTCTGGTTGGGATCGGTCCTCGGCGCCATGACTCTCAGCGCCTTTGGGTCCTGCCCCCTTTGTTTCGAAAGGGGGTCACAAATATTATATAATTTTCATTGATGATTTTTCTCGCCACACTTGGATCTACTTTATGTCATCTCGTAGTCAAGTGCTTCAAATTTACAAGTCGTTCGCTACCATGGTTCGCACTCAGTATGATTTCTCTGTTCGAGTTTTTCGTGCTGATTCGGCTGGCGAGTACCTATCTCGTGCGCTTCGTGGTTTCCTTGCTGAATAGGGTACCCTTCCTCAGTATTCCTGTCCTGGTGCACATGCTCAAAATGGGGTGGCTGAACGCAAACATCGTCACGTCCTTGAGACTGCTCGGGCTCTTCTTTTATCTTCTACTGTTCCCCCGCACTTTTGGGCTGAAGCTGTCTCTACCGCTGTTTATCTCATTAATATTCAGCCTTCTGTTGCTCTTCAGGGAGGGATACCAGTTGATCATCTAGGTGATGGTCCAGCTGATTATAGTGGTCTACGCCTGTTTGGTTGTGCCTGTTTTGTTCTTCTCCACCCTCATGAACGCACCAAATTGACTGCTCAATCTGTTGAATGTGTTTTCCTTGGCTACAGTTTGGAGCACAAAGGTTACCGTTGCTGGGGCCCTATTGCTCGAAGACTGAGAATCTCCAAAGATGTCACTTTTGATGAGTCTCGCTCCTTCTACCCTCGTCATTCTTCTACTGCCACAACCGAGTCGTTAGTCGAGCCTCTCTCTTTTTTGACTCTACCTGATTCTTCACCTTTATCGTCACCTGGTAGGTCCACTCCTAGCCTTTCACCTGTGTCTGCTCATGAGCTTCAGCTTACACAGGATGAGGTTTCTATTCCTGACTCTCCTACTCGGGTTGAGCCATCCACTCTCTCTCCTTTTCCTTTTACCTACTCCCATCGTGCTCAACACCCTTCTCCCTCTGATGCGCCACCTTCCACTTCCCCTCTCTCTCCGCTTCCTTTTGTCTACTCCCGTCGTGCTCGGCACCCTTCTCCCTCGGATGCGCCCACTTCCACTTCCACTCCTTCCCTGTTGGGTCCCATTCCTTCAGAACCACCTACCCCTCCCGCTCCTCGGTATAATCTGCGTGATCGCCACACTCTCCAGCCTCCTGCGTACTATGTTGCTGCTGCTACCACTCTTGTTGAGCCGTCTACGTATCGTGAGGCTGCTGCTCATTCTGAATGGCAGCATGCTATGGCAGAGGAAATTCATGCTCTTGAGCGCACAGGCACTTGGGACCTTGTACCCCTGCCTACAGGCGTTAGACCCATCACTTGCAAATGGGTCTACAAGGTTAAGACACATTCAGATGGTTCTCTCGTGCGCTACAAAGCTCGTCTTGTTGCGCGTGGCTTCCAGCAGGAGTATGGTCGTGACTATGATGAGACTTTTGCTCCTGTTGCTCACATGACCATTGTTCGCACTCTTTTGGCTGTTGCTGCTGTTCGGCAGTGGTCCATCTCTCAATTAGATGTCAAGAATGCCTTCTTGAATGGTGAGCTGCGGGAAGTGGTCTATATGCAGCCGCCTCTTGGCTATACTGTCTCTGATGGCACTGTCTGTCGCCTTCGGCGCGCTCTTTACGGGCTGAAACAAGCTCCTCGTACCTGGTTTGAGCGTTTCTCCGCCGTCATCACAAGGATCGGGTTCTCTGCTAGTGTTCATGATCCTGCTCTGTTTATTCACACTTCTCCTCGCGGTCGCACCCTTTTACTACTCTATGTTGATGACATGATTATCACAGGGGCTGACCACCAATTCATTGATTTTGTGAAGAAACGTCTACATGAGCAATTCTTGATGACTGATTTGGGTTCTCTTCGCTACTTTCTTGGACTTGAGATCATTTCTTCCCATGAGGGTATTTATCTCTCTCAAGCGAAGTACATCCAAGATCTTCTCACTCGTGCCTGCCTCACTGATCAGCGCACGGTTGACACTCCTATGGAGTTTGGTCTCCATCTTCGTCCTGGTGAGGGTGAACCCCTTGCAGATCCCACACGCTACCGTCATCTTGTTGGGAGCCTTGTCTATCTAGGCATCACTCGTCCTGACATTTCTTATGCTGTGCACATTCTAAGTCAGTTTGTCTCTGCTCCCACTCAACTTCACTACAGTCACCTTCTTCGTGTTCTTCGTTACCTTCGTGGTACCGTGACTCGTCGCTTATTCTTCCCTCGCTCCAGCTCTCTTCAGCTTCAGGCCTATTGTGATGCTACCTGGGCCAGCGATCCCACTGATCGCCGCTCTCTCTCTGCCTATTGTGTTTTTCTTGGCTCCTCCCTGATTGCCTGGAAGACCAAGAAGCAGACTGCTGTATCTCGCTCCAGTGCTGAGGCTGAGCTGCGAGCTATGGCGTCCGTGACTGCAGAAATTACTTGGCTATGATGGCTTCTTCAGGATTTTGGTGTTTCCACTGCTACACCGACCCCTCTGCTCTTCGACAGCACTGGGGCACTCAGCATTGCCCGTGATCCTGTTAAGCATGAGCTCACCAAGCACATCGGTGTTGATGCCTCCTACACGCGTTCTCAGGTGCAAGACAGAATTGTGGCCCCTCAGTATGTGCCCTCGGAGCTTCAGCTTGCTGATTTTCTGACGAAAGCTCAGACACGGTCCCAACACAGCTTTTTCCTGTCCAAACTCGGTGTCCGAGATCCCCCTTGAGTTTGAGGGGGGGTGTTAGAACAGGGTTGTGCTGTGTGTGTAGTTATCATATTGTATAGGGGCTTCTTTGCTTATTTCCCTTCATGTATATGTGCTGGCCTGTTGGCCCGATGGAATATATGCTCACTTCATAACAATATTTACCATACAACACCAATACAAATTGTTGTAAGCTGTTCTGTTGAAAATAGCTGATTAACATCTTCAGTGGTCACAATACTTCTTGTTGATTATTTACCAGAAGTAGCTGCTACTGCATGTTATTTCTTGGAGAAGATTATGATATAAAATAAAATTACCTAATTGCAGCTGCAGGATTGGAATAACAGATTATTCACTGATGATGAGAGTGCTTTCTGTATTGATAATTTTTCCGAAGTGGTGGGTGAAGATTTTGTCGGCCAGGTACTAGATTTATATGCTTTTTGATGATAGAATGATTGATATAAACATGTTTCAGAAGCACAATTCTTCCCACATTATGTACATGTTTTTCAGGCAATACTTGCCAATAGCCAAGAATCAAAACTAGTAAAGATTGCCCCCTTCTTGGTTCCTTTCAGTCTTCGACTGCAAATATACCATGTACGTATCATTAATTTACTGTGCAAAATCGCAAATAGTGGTGTATGTTTCAGGGAAAATTATCTTAAATTTTCTCTTATTTTCTGTGACTAGTTATATTTGGCTGCTGATAAGGCAAAGTTCAAAGCTTCAAGACTACCCTTAGGGTCCCATCCGATAGAAATAAGAAGAACTCACTCTCGGGAAGATGCTTTTGAACATCTAAACCATCTCTCTTCCGAAGAACTTAAAGGATATGTAAGATGATAGTTCTTTCATCTTTATTCTTGCTACCACCTAATAGGCACACTAATAAGTTACATAAAATCCCTTTGAAACTAGTCTTCTAATTTGTCAACCTAATTTTTTAGATTGAAGTGAGCTTTATTAATCAGCATGGTATTAGAGAAGAAGGTGTTGGTGAAGGGATATCACGTGATTTTATTGATGGTGTTGCCAAGTTAGCATTTGGTTCGGACGCTGGCTTCTTCAAGGTATCAGTTTTTTTAATCCAATCCATATATCCAACAGAAGAACGTCAATTATAATTATGATCACACAAATGTATGCTTATACCTGATCTTTATTATTTTATGGTAGTGTAGCTTGTATGTTATAGCTAAAAACTGTCAACATTGGGTAATTAGCTGCGTTCATTTTTTCCCCAATTTGTAGTCAACCTCTCGCAATTTGCTCTATCCGAGATTGGGGTCAGTTTCTGCACAAGATCTGGAACATTTCCATTTCCTTGGACTTCTTCTTGGAAAGGTACTTTCATTATGTTTTTTTGTGTTTAATCAACTTCCGCAGTAGTTTATACTATTCACCTGTCACTTTAGCTTTTCAAATTTACATCGAATACATCTGGTCAGTTTAAAAAAAGTGCTATGCGTTACCTGTGCGTTTTACCACCGCGTTGTGCTTTTCTGACCAAAGTGCACGCTTAAGCGCAGTTATGTGTACATTAAGCGCCAGGCATTTTACTATCGCCTAGAGCCTAGGCGTGCCTTTTTTTAACTATGCATACAGTAAAGGTCGTTGGTATTCTATCTGAGTCAATGGGCAATTATCTTGTAGAGCACTATGTAAACTATGTGGGCCATACTGCTTTAATCTCATTTAACTTCTGAGTTATAACAACAATGTTGAGCTTGGATGGATGTTGCTATAACATGCATGCCTGAATCTTGGAATCGTGGGAAACTTACACTTGGTAATATTATGTTATTATCTCTTGTTGTATAATGACTTAGGTTCAATATCTGGAAATATCTTATTAACTTGTTGCGGTTGTAATTTGGTTATGTGCTCATGTGTGTTTAATTATTTTTTAGGCAATGTATGAGAATGTCAGTATCGAAGCAGTGTTTGAATTATCATTCTTAAAAACAATAAAACAGAGGTAATTTCCTCTTCCTCCCTACCCCTTTCCATCTGGCCTGTAGTAGCATAATTGACAAAGCAGATAATCAGAAGTTGAGATTGATATTATTGATATCTGTTGAGTTGTATTGTACATTTGTAGTTCACTTAAAATTTATAGAGATATGATGAAGAGATCATTATGTAAAAGGGTTTTGTGAAGATGGTTCCACATGCTCCCATTTTTAGAAGTTGTGCTTTTGCATCCAAAACAGTGATGGATGAGCAACTTGTTAGAAACATAATATGTGCACTGTACCAATAAGATAAAATATCATGTTTAGTTTCTGTAATATAAGTTCATTGACATTTAGGGTGTTATTGATGCAGACCAATCTGTTTAAATGATTTCTCATTATTGGATAAAGCAATCTATAATCAACTGCGAAACATGAAGGTTTGATTCTGTTTCCGTTATAATTTATAGAGATAAAATGCTTATTGATATCTATTGTACTAAAGTTGTCAAGATTACCGAATGAATCGCGCTACGGAATCATGATTGTTACAGATTATTTATAAGATTACGAAACCTATATGATAGTTACTAAGCAGTGAGGCCCATTATGACTTGTAGTGTCACCCATTGTGTGTACCATAGGCTCTAAACTCTGGTGCATGGAAGCTTCATCCATCATTTCTTTCTCTAGGTGCCCTTTTTTGTTCCATACTAAATGAAACTGTGTCTGTATGCGCCAGACGCTAGTGCAGCTCCCTCGTATATGAAGTGTGAAATAAGAGGATACTGGATTACTGGGTAGTACTATAGTATCAAATATAGGACAATTTAGGTAGGCTTCTACAACTTTTGCTAATCAAATTCTTGATCCTGTCGTTCATCCATTTTTCCTTAATTTGTACTGGTTTACGAAACTTATAAAGCTGTAATAAAAGATCCGCTCAATCAAGGTCCCGTTGAAGGTTGCCAGGTTTAGAAGTCAATATTTTGAAGTGTTATATGCAATTGAGGTACAATTTTGCATGATACTCTTAGCTCTACATTTAGTTTTTTTAATTTTGTTAATTCTAATAACTTTTGACAATCTCAAACTGTCAGATCAATACGTGAGATAAAAGTAGTGGTCTTTTTAGGTTTAGCAGCAACCCAGAATTTTTTTGTATCACATCTTCATAACTTGAAAAAATCATACGCCAGAATATAATTAATCATCTTTGTGTATTTTTTTATCTTTTGATCTTGCTTTTTAAAATATTCTTCATACATGCATTTTCGGGTCCAACTAACCACCCTTATCATGTCCTTTTCTTCTGATGCCCCGTCCTTTCCATGCTCAGAAAGAGGAGGATTCAATCTCAGGATGGGGCTTGTACTTTTCAATCTCAAGTGGTAACAATAATGATGAAGAAGATTTGCTTCCTGGTGGGAGCAATATGCTTGTTACTAAGCATAATTTTGCTCTCTATATGCATCTTGTCGCAGACTATAAATTAAAACATCAGGTAAAAAAGTGTAATGTTGTCATTTGCTGTCATGGAGTGTTTTGGTAAATGATTAGCCTTTTTATGGTCATAGATCCGTGCACAAAGTAAGCACTTTTTGAGAGGTTTCCAACAGCTTATTTCACTGGAATGGCTTGACATGTTCAGTGAGCCGGAAGTTCAGGTACTTCTTTTACTCTTTACAAGTATAGAAAATTTAGTTTTATCCCTTAGAAAATAATGTACATATACACTCAGTGAATGCGATGTAACTTCTTACTTCCTCTATTCACAAATATAAGATGTTCTAACTTCTTTCTGAATTGGATGTATATACTATATAGACATATTTAATGTGTTTGTTCACTCATCTCAGTCCGTATGTAGTCCGTATAGAAATATGCAAAATGTGCAGTTTGTTCTTTTGGTTATTGTAGCAGTGTCCTACTATATAGTTTCTTTGAAGTGTTATCATGTCAGATTCGTTTTTTCCCTGATATTATCTTGTCTTAATTGCCTCTATAGTGGATTATATCTGGACCTTCTAAAGGGCTGGATATAGATGACTTGCGGTCAAACACGAATTATGCTGGTGCATTTCATCAGGATCACGAGGTCATAATTTTCTTTTGGGAGGTTTTAGAGACTTTTGGTCAAGATGATCGGAAAGCATTTCTCAAGTAGGAACATTTCTTTCTTTGTTTCCAATATCGTTATGTCTGTTCTTTTTCCCTACACTAATATGGCTGACGATAAATACATAAGGTTTGTGACGGGTTGTTCTCGAATTCCCATTGGTGGTTGCCAATTGCTTCAACCAAAATTTTGCATTGCAAGGTATGTATATTTGTTCGTTTTCTATCATTTTGTTCAGTCATAGATGAAGTGAACTTCTGGTTACAGTCTAGGTGAAGCCCCAGATCCAGATGCATTTCCTCGTTCTTCCACTTGCTTCAACCAGTTGAAACTCCCAATATATACAACGTTAGCTCACTTTCTACCATCTCTTTGCATATTTCATCATTTTGGAAACAAGAGAACTATGTTAATAAATCAGTCCTATTCTTATAATCCTTGCAAAGCTACAGCGGGCTGATATAGTATGCAAAAACAATACCAGAATTTAGCTCTTTGGCTCCTGTGAATAAGAATAATTGTTACATCTCTTTTTTTGCAGCAAGAGAACTATATCAGTTCATCAGTCATATACTCCCTCCGTCCCATAATATAAGAAGGTTTTTGACACTACACTAGTGTCAAAAACGTTCTTATATTATGGGACAGAGGAAGTATATTCTTACAATCTTGGTCAAGAAGAAACAAAGCATTGAGATTCTGACTGTCACGAGCCACTCTAAACCTTGAAACCTGAATGTACTTTTTGGTCTTTGTGAATTCAGAAAGGAGCAATTGTCGGAGAAATTGTTATTGGCACTAGCAAGTGGAGCGGGCTTTGATCACGAGTGAAACAGTGCTACAGAGTTGTACAAACTTGATGTGTGAGAGTTGATTCTTTGCTTGGTGTATGACGTGAAAACATTTGATAGCTAATGGTGTTGTGCACTGGATAAAGTAGATTGTCAAATACGGAATCTGTGTTGGTCATCTCCTGTACAATTGAATGGCTCATGGCTGTGTTGCAAGTAAATTTTTTTAGAAGAACAGGGTCCCCGGTTCCATTACCAGAATGAAACCAAAGTGTTGCAAGTACAATATCTAATTTTACCTTTTCTCTATTTTGAATGGCTCAATGGTTCATAACATTCAGAATTACTTATATCATGTGTGTTGTGAAGAGAATCAGCTCTTTGGATAACTCTTGCTTTACTTTTAATTTGTCAGTACGATTCTTGATGTGTCAGTTGTTAACCCAAATGGATTCAGACTTTGAGATTAAGCGGGATCTGTAACGGTCCTTGATTTCTAATCTCTTATTTATAGGAGGAACTGGGACAGATGTTGGAGTTAACATGCCAGGTGGATGAAATTAAGATCACAGTACACATTTAGTGTATGTACCTTTAGTATTTGGTAATCAACATGAATATTTTCATTGAGATGCTCATGGACTGTCCAATTAGACGGCCAGTATATCCAGTAACACTCTTGTAAATTAACTCCCAAGAAAAGTAGGAGTATATCTACTGAGTATATGATCCACAGTTGTAGCTATTCACCATAAACAGCGACCCTCAGTCTGGAGCGAGTAAACGTGCTTACTACTGCGCGCTCTACGGTTGGACTTACTTTGGAAAGAGCACACAGCTATGCACACGATACTGTGCAGATTAATTTTAAATGACAATCTATCAATTCCGTCCATTGCTCCTGGCCATGATCATGCCCCTTGCTATTAGTACTAGTTGAATGCGGTGCGTTGCCATGGAATACAAAATATAGAGTGAAAAATATTACTCCCTCCGGTCCTTTTTACTCTGCACATTGGATTTGCCGAAAGTCAAACTTAGCTAAGTTTGACCAAATTTATATTAGAAATTATTAGCATCTATAATATCTAATAAATATAATATGAAAATATATTTCGAGATGAATCTAATGATGTTGGTGGTGTTATGTAAATGTCAATAATTTTTTATATAAACTTGGTCAAAGTTGAATGAGATTGACTTCAGATAAACCTAATATGCAGAGTAAAAATGACCGGAGGGAGTACTTGATAGGATGAACTTGGGTATTTTAGATAGAGAAGTACTCCCGCAAACGGAGAAAGTACTCCCTTCGTCCGAAAATACTTGTCATCAAAATGGATGAAAAGAGATGTATCTAGAACTAAAATACGTCTAGATACATCCTCTTTTATCCATTTTGATGACAAGTATTTTCGGAGGGAGGGAGTATATCCCAACAGCAAAGGTAATTCAAAATTTATGAACATGGACAAACTTACTTTGAAATTTAGATAATAACTTAAACATCCGTGAAATTAGCACATGTGTCTTAAAACACTATGCACACAAACAAACAGGACGGAACACTCATCTGTTACATACAAATAAGTACACTATACTTGATATTGCAACTTGAAACACACAATCATCATGTGTAATAGACACAACTGATGTCTACTGTCTCTACTATAGACTTCGAGTTTCCCTTCTACTCCCTCCGTTCCTAAATATTTCAACAAATAACTACATACGGAGCAAAATGAGTGAATCTACACTCTAAAATATGTCTATATACATCTGTATGTGGTAGTTCATTTAAAATCTCTAAAAGACAAATATTTAGGAACGGAGGAAGTATACATCATGTGCCGATGACCTTGTAGACATGTTCCTTGCTAGAAAAGCCCACCTCCATTCAATAAATTGTCGGACCAACTTCATGTCCTTACAAGGTATTTTTAGCCTAACCAAGAAATTCTACAGGCCCAACCGTCTTAAAATTCTACATCTGTAACTGAACAGACTGACCAACACTCACCGACATTTCTCTTACAAAGCACGCTCACAGTCTCACTTCGTCACCGCTCTTACTCAAATCCCCTTCGGCGAGCCACTCACACTGCTCCCCATGGGCAGCCGCTGAGGAAGAGACGCGTCATCGAGGGCATTAGTAGAACCGGAAAAGGGAGCTGTAGTCATCTCTACTTCTCTTTTTTTTAGCATCAGTACAGACACAAGCGCTCATATACACGCGCATACACTCACCCCTATGAACCCACGCACGCACACCCTACCCCTATGAGCACCTCCGAGAGACTGAGCTGGCATATCATCTTGAAATTTACGAAGTCACCGTAGGCGCCTCGTCGTCGACGGGAACGTCTCCTCCCACTGAAAGCGCATCGCCAGAAATCCTGAAATAAATCCAGGAATAATGCGAGCACCAGGATTTGAACCCTGGTGGGTTGGGGATACCACTGTCCACCTAACCAACTCAACCACAGGTTGATTCGCAGTCATCTCTACTTCTAATGTCTCAGTTGGTAGTCTCCGCCGATCAATTTTCGTCCCGCCAGAGACGGTTATTTTTCGTCCTCGATCCCACCTCCCGCATCCCACCGATCCCCCCCCTCCGCCCTCGAACCAGGAAAGAAAAACCAGGCTAATTTTCATCAGCGGCGTGGACGAAGGGACGGAGGGAATCGATAAAAACTCGTTCTGAAAAAATCTACGAAAATAAACGTACGAAAGTTAGCCAGACGCTCGCAGGCACGAGCGATTCCCTCCATCCCTTCGTCCACGCCGCTGACGATCCAGGAAGGCAGTAGGGGTGTGCGAGGAGAATACGCCCCAGCCGCCATAGTGGAGCCCTACGCCGCCGCCGAGATCCGACAGGAGCCACCGCCGCCGAGGTTCAAGAGGAGCCGGCCACCATGACCTCCCTCCTCCCACCATGACAGCGGGGCGGCGACCACGTGCCTGACATAGGTGGGTCTCGGCCTCCTTCCTCCCTTCGTCCAAGGCTAGGAACTCCCCTCTCCTACCCGATCTCCTCCCTTCGTCCAAGGCCACGATCTCCCCTCCCCTCCCCTACCCGATCTGACGAAGAGAGGGCCAGGCCTTGCCACTTCGGTGTTCGATGTGGCCAGATCTGGCCGGGGGACTCGCCGCAGAGCCTCCATGTCGGCGGAACAGCAGCAGCCCGACAGAAGATGGGTGTCCAATCTCGCATTCTTTTGGCGATTTTTCTATAGTTAGATTAGCACAGGGAGGGAGCAGTGCAGTGCGAATTAGGACGGACATCAAACTCTCTGTTAGATTAGTTCATATTATACTGCGACTATCATAGTTCATATCATAATGCTGATGCCTCTTTAGATCCAGTACTTAAATAAGATTAGGAGGAAGGGCGTCACACTCTCCGAGAGCAAACAAGATACCACATACCCATCCTGTACTATCACTATGTTGTATTAACAAACCCGTGTTATGTTATATTAACAAATCTGCCTTTCTTTTTTCATATTGTGTATGATTCAGATTTATGGCAGGGACACAATCAAATTTATACCATACGATGTTATGATACAAGGAAAGTAAACATAGATGCATATTTTGTTCAACGTGATGATAGAAGGGAGAGTTGGCCTACGCCGCCAACTGATCTTCGGCAGCGTGGAAGGAGAGTTCAAAAGCAGCAGGAGCGGCTGTTCTACTGCTGGTCGGAGGGAGAGCTTGGCAAGGGAGATAGAGGGAGCTCTACAGCCACGATCTTGGCATACAACCCGATGGCATCATGTCCACGTAAGCTTCTTCCATGTTCCAATTATTGCATTTGTTGGTCTTTTACTGTCATAGCTTACAAAATCTTAGATGTTGCTGACAAAAGACCGAGATACAATATTTTGATTGCAGATTATATATTCTTCGGTAATATGTAAAGCCTAAGTGAGAGACACAATGTTTTGATTGCAGTCTTGCGGACTGCATATTTTTCAGCAAGTACGTTCGCAATTTTTTTTTGATCTCAGTAGGTTGGTGTTCATGTACACGTTGCCATATGAGAATATACTGTGTATTACTCAAATCTCAAAACAAATGGCCCATTCTGACCAGACCATAACTATTCCAAAAGCATTGATAGGCATTTTTAAACATCAAGATATCTGAATATTTATCTTAGCGGTGTCCAAAATCCAAACGGTTATGTTTGTTCAGATTTTCCTCATTTTTATGTTCTTTGAATTATAGTGCTTGAGGTTAATAATAAATGATTGTTGGTAACTTAACTAGCTCCTGAGAATAATGTGTGATATAGCTTGCTCCTATATGTGTCATTGACTATGTTGCTTGTGGAGAGTAATAAGGATTTATCTAGCTCATGTATATCTGAGCCTTAGACGGAGAGGACGACTGTCGTGGCTCCATTGATGATAGTGGTTGCGACACAGAGCCGTACGAATGGACAACAAGCAAGCCAAGCACTCCCTGGGAATCGCTGTGATTCCGGAACGGGTGGCGGGTCCCTGCCTCTACCGCCCATGAAGCTGACAACGATCACGTGGTCGTCGTGCGAGGGCTGCGGAGGGGGGAGGGGGGCAGGCAGGGGGGATACTTGTAGGCGAGAACCTGCACGGAGGAGGAAGGAGATGCCTCAGGTGGAGATGATGACGATGACCGTGCCCCATCACTAGCGGCGGTCACGACGTGCAGCTGCAGGACTAGAGATCATACAGGTCGGGCTGTTTCTGGTAGTTGTTTGCTTTGGTGGTGCTCTTGGGTTTACGATTTCAATAAAATCCTGTCGCGAAGTGGAA